AGCACCAATTAATTTTATTTAAAGAAATGGCGTGTCGTCTATTTCCGGTGTAGCAAACGTAGTACATAGGGCGACATCTAGATGTCATCTACCTCGCCCTATTCACTATGCTTTTTTATAGGAGCTTTTCAAAGCTTTGCTTTATGGTGTCGGACACACAACATTGAAAGTTTCTGGAACACAACATTGAAAGTTTCTGGAACACAACATTGAAAGTTTCTGGAACACAACATTGTAAAATAGGCTAATTTTTTGGAAGAGTTGCTAATTAATACGCGGAAGCGACTGAACAGATTTGCATGATATTTCGCACACAGATATCTTATGGCCTAGATTGGAAAATAGGCTACTTTTTTAGGAATTGCCACCAGTTTGAAAATGAAATTTTGCTCACAGATGGTTTATGACCTGGATTGAAAAATAGGCTACTTCCTTAAACGGTTTCCCGATCAGAACGAAATTTGGTACACTTACTACGGATTTCGCAAGGATGGTCTTAAACTGAAAGTGATTCCGACAACTCAAGGCCCCTCCCATACAAATTGGAATTTTCATATTACCCACGATTGAGAGAATACAAAGGTTGCGCCGATCTCGGACCGCTATTCCTCTCTTAACGAATTTGACAGAATCGTTGTTTTCATGACGTCACACTGGTGCAACTTGTTTACGTTTTCCTTGCAACATTTTTTCTTCTTCTTCCATTCTTGCTCACGTTTTGGCAATTCTCTCTCGCAATTGCACCAGTGTGACGTCACACACAAGTTATTCTCAAAAATCCTCTCCGATCGGCGCAATCTTGTATTCTATCATTCTTGCATATTACCTATATATCTCTGGAAGTATTTGTGGGAGAGAACTGGAACTTGGTATAGAGATATGCATGTGAAATCAATGTTGGCATTAATGGATTAATTTTTTAATCAATTAGTTAATTAGATTAAATTCAATCTGATTACAGTTAATCATGATTATTTTAATCTGACTAAACAGTTAATTGTAACCGCGATTAAAAAAATAAATGTTTAATCATTAACTCTTAATTTGATCAAGTAGGTTTGGTGATTAACGACTAAAAAATTTAATCATTAATCGTACAGTTGATTACGACTAATTAATTTTAACCTTCAAACGCGATTAACATTTTAATCGTTAATTTTTAATCGTTAATGAGATTAACATTTTTTCAACACTGTGTGAAAAGGCGTAGCACCTCCCATACTGACTAAAAGTTTCATATTGCATATATCTTCAAATGTTTGGGTA